GATAAGCACTTAGAAGTACAGTTAGAAATGATATTGGTTTAGTAATGTGGCAACAGTAGGTTCTCCTCTAGGGTCCTTGACCTCTCCAGTCAAGAGTACTTGGCTATATTTATAATACAAGGCATGGATTCTCATCTATTAACCAGGCTTAAGTTCAAGTAGACAGATGTTAGTTACCCATGATATAAGTGCCACTATTGCACCCCTGGGGACATCTTGCTGTGCTGGTCACTGTGGCATGTAGCTTTATAACTGTGTATGACTGACTACTGAATGTCTGTCTCCCTTGGCAGCTTGCAGATCACTTTCTTTCCTCAATGAGGCTTACAGGTAGGTCAGTTTCAATTCAATTCCTCTAAGCTCTGTGTCCAAAGTGTGTGTTATCTTCGGCAATGGGGTCTTACCTTTAAGTTCTGGGAGGTAACAAAGGGCAATGGGAATAGCCTATATTGTTTGGGAGTCTCTTGGCCTCAATTGTCCAACAACTCAAAGGAAAGTTTATCATGCCTGGTACAGGGCTTTTTAAATTTTATATTAGTCTCATGGCTCTTGGATGTAACATTGCCATCCCATGTGACATAACTTTCATTGAAACTACATATATGTAGCTCGTATGTTTCCCCACAGCCTTTTCAAACATCTCCTTCCTCCCTCCTTTCTAATCTCTCAATTTTTCCAATTTCTTCCTTCATAGCACCTTTGTCCTTCCACCACAAAGTCTCCTTTTACTTTCTTGGCTTCTGAGGTTACTTTTGGTTATACACTCATATCTCAAGATTTGGAGCTAGGACCTGCAAATAAGACAGAATGTGGAATTTGTCTATCTGGGTTGCCTCACTCAGTTCCATTCATTTACCTGCAAACCTCATTACTTCATTTTGTTACAGCTAAGCAGTATTACATTGTGTGTGTACATTTTCACTATGCAGTATCAACTGAGTATCATTTAGGCTGTTTCCTAGCTCTGCGAACACAGAGGCAATGAACCTGGATGAGCGGGCATCTCTGTAGTAGGATATTGTGACCTTTGGATATATGCCAAGTAGTGGTATATATATCTCAAATCTTTACTGATTGGCATGAGACAGGGCCTCACTATATAGCTCATGGTAACTATCTTGTGCTAATTTCTTGAGTGCTAAGACTGTAGGTATGTGTACACACTTAGGACTGATTGTTATTAGTGTCTCTGTTGCTCTGACAGTTGGGGAAGGGAGTGTTTATTTTGGCTTCACAGTTCCAGGAGACAGTCCATCATGGCAGGGAAATCAGTGGCATTGGAGGCGAAGGGTTGGACTGAACCACATCAAAGAACAGAAAGCCCATCTTCCTGTCCTCCATTCTGGTCACGTTAGATTTACCCTTGGTTCTGCTACAGCTTGCCCACAGGGGTCCCTCTTCCCAGTACACCATCTCCTAGGGGCACCCTGGTTCTTTACTACTGCTCATTTTGTCCCCCCACCCCCGCATGTACACCCTTATGCCAGTAGAGGTGTGAGCCACCATGTGGTTGCTGAGAATTGAACTCAGGATCTCTGGAACAGCAGTCAGTGCTCTTAACCACTGACACATCTCTCTAGCCCCTTTAGGCCTTCTTAAAGCCCATCTCAATTCTTTTGTGACACCTGTCCACCCACAGGAACTCTCTACCAGCGACATTTGGATGAGACACAGAGTGGGTAGCAGAAACCAAATAAAAGGAACACTTATCCAATAAGAGCGAGACCAGAAACTACATCAAAAATCATATAAAATGACAGATGCCAAGATCCCAGCACAAAACCACAAACATGAGTAACACACTGAAAAAAGCAATTTACTTGAAGTACAAGTTTTAATTTGTATTTCTCTGATGACTATGGATGTTGAATATTTGTTTCTCAGGCATTTATTTCGTCTTTTGAAAGGTGCTCAGTTCTATGCACTGTATTTTAATTGCTTTTTTAATGTTCCTTATATTCTAGATACTAATCCGACATCAGAAGTATAATTGGTAAAGATTTTCTTCTCCATTCACTAACGTGATGGTGCCTTTGCTGTACTGAAACTTCTTAGTTTCATGAGGTCCCATTTATTGTTGTTCTTAGTGCCTGTGCTGTGTCCTGCTCAGAAATCCCTTACCTGTGCCAGTAAGTTCAAGCCTATTTTCTATTTTCTATTTTCTTTCTCTTTCTTCTTTCCTTTCTTTTTAAAATCAGATTCAGGCTGTTTGGTCTTACGTTAAGGTCCTTAACCCATCTGGGACTGAGTTTTGTGCAGAATGATAGATAATGGATCTATTTGCATTCTTCTACATTCAGCTACCTAGTATGTGCAGGAACATTTTACTAAAGATGCTACCTTTTCCATAGTATTTTTTATTTCTGTCAAAAGTCAAGCTTCTACAGGTATATAGAATTGTCTGGGTGTTCTAGTCTACTGATCAACCTGTCTGTTTTTATATCAATACTATACTGTTTTAATTACTACAGCCTTGTAATACAACTTAAAACAAGCTTATTTATTATTCAGGATTGTTTTAGCTATGCTGAGTTTTTGTGTTTCCATATAAAGTTGAAGATTGTTTTGGGGTTCCCATGAAGAATTGTGTTGGAATTCTTATAGGAACTGAAGATGAGGTGTATATATATAGGTCTAAAAATTAAGTAACTATGAAAATTATCTTTGCTTTTCAGAAGATAAGAATTTTTATCATTTACACAATAATTTCTGGTGCTTTAAAGGCAACAATTGGCTGCTCTCTGGCAAATGTAAGGTTGTCATTAGTCACTGAATTAGGAAATGAATTCAGTTCCTCACTTGAAAATCTAAAAACATTGAGAAACATCTACCTATTTCTCAGAATAGCTTCACTGGAAAGTGGCTTATGGATTTTGGAAGACTCAGGTAATAACACAAAACTACAATAACTGATATGAATGGCAGGTCCCTTAAATAGAGACTCAATTCCGGCAGGATGCATGGCAGAGTGAAGAACAGCAGGGACTAGGCAGGAAGGTAGGCCAGGGCCAGCTTACATGGACTAAGAAATCACTTTGTATTTTTGTGTATCACTGTCATGAACCACAGGTGGCACTTGTGTGAGATATAATTCAAATACGCTAAGGCTCCTTCCACAACCACTCAACAATTCTGTATATTGTTCTGTGATGTGGTAAGTCTTTCCTAGATGAAGAAATTTTGATTATATTTTCTTTGTCTGCATGTATCTATGTGCACCATGCACATGCCTGGTGCTATTGGAGGTCAGAAGAGGGTATCAGATCTCCCTCCAAGTAGAGTTATGGAGATGTGAGCCTCCATGTTGATGCTAATAACTGAACCTGGGTCCTCAGTAAAAGCAGTAAGTGCTTGTAGCCACTGAGCCATCTCCCTAGCCCCCTTTCTTAGAATTTTTAGCAAGCAGGAGGCACCAATAATCCAACAATGAAGAGAAGAAAACAGTTTTAAATTTATACTAACCAACAGTTTATACGAAAAATGTAACATGGACCTACCAACATGATACTTCCCATGATTGTATACAGCTACAAATGCAGGGACATTTTTTGAGCAAAGAACTGAGATTCTGTAAAAACATAGAAGATAATCTAGGACATTTCTAGCTATGATACTGCACAAAGAGGACAGACACATCAAGCGCAGTATGTCTCCATTTCCTAAAATCTAGGTTCTCCTCAGAGGCCAACACCGAGCTTCAAGTATTACCAGAGTCCTCCAAAGGAATTAAGAAACCATTCAGACTGGAGAGCTTAAAAAATGAAATCCACAGGGTAGGATTTCATGTAAGTGAGTATACAGATGATGCAAATTCATCTCTACGGTTAGACCAGTGGTTGTCTACAGACAAGGTCTTGTAGGGGGCGACTAATCGTAGAGAGGAACCAGGGTACTTATACACGTGGTAGACATATTCAGGATGCTGATTGCTGGAGTAGATTCCTAAGTGTATATATATGTCAAAACACAGTAAACTGTATGCTTTAAAATGGAGACAGTTTATTGTAGACAAATTATGCCTTAATTGAATATGACTTCCTAATAGGCAGAGCCAAAAACACCACCATCACAGAAATGACGAAGCACAGGCCATGTTCACTTCCTGAGCACTGGGCAGATCGTCTTTCAGTTGGCCCAGTGCCTTTTATTTTACTTCTATTTTGAGAACGTTTGTCTCGCAGGTGAATGAGACATTCCAAGTGAGTGAATGCCAACACTGAGGCAGCCGGAATTATGGGGGAGCTTTACAGTACAGCAGTCATTCAGCACAGCTATTTGGGTTGAGGAGATGTGGGAAAAAAAAGTTTCCTCTGCACATAAGTGACTCCACCTAAGCAGATAGAGAAGGTAGAAAAGCAGACCTAATGCTCACCTTGAGAAGCCCCAACCCTCAGCATCTTACTGGGGTACTTCGACAGTGGGACTGACATGATTATAAAGCTTGGTATTAGTAACGGTAAGCTAGCTTATCAATGCATACTCAAAAAACGAGGAAACTAATAGATATTAAAATACGGGCACTTACCTTTAAGCTGGAGTGTTACTTGATAAAAAAGCAAAATGCTACTGTAGCCTAGAAAAAACACTTAAGTTTGTGATGAGAAGTGTCACTTTTATGCTGTACTTCATAAAAAGGCACAAGAAAAAACAGGCCTTTTCTCACTTAAGTACTATTTTGTGTGTGCCATAGTATATGTGCACTGTGTATATGTAAGAACCCTCCGGGAACACAGAGTCAGATGCCCTGGAACTGGAGTTACAGAGGGATGTGAGCCTCCATGTGGATGCTGGGAACCAAACCTCAGTCCTCTGCAAGAGCAATGAGTGCTCTTAACTGCTGAGTCACCTCTCCAGTCCAATGACTCCTCTCCAAAACATCATCATATGTACAGCAATGCTGAGAATCCTAAGAAACGGTTTCAGTTATTAGTCTGTGATAGGTAAAGACCTCCAGTCAAACCAAGAGAAGCCAGCTACTGTATCTACATACCAGCCTGAAATAGCAGTCTCAAGTTTATTAGAAACAAAAATGAATGGAAAAAGCTGCCTTCAGTTACATCATATGCACAAGAGTTTCTGCATCACATCATTTTACAAGAAATTTCTGAATGACAGGAGTAAAGGGAGAACTTACTAGCATTTGAAGAGAGGAGTTCATCTCTCTCTCTCTCTCTCTCTCTCTCTCTCTCTCTCTCTCTCTCTCTCACACACACACACACACACACACACACACACACACACACACACACACACACGAGAAAACAAGTCCACCTGTGATCTCTGGCTGCAGCAAGAGATTGACATGATAGAAATCTGAAGGAAAAAGACTTTTGCTACTTTAAAAAATACTCGGCCATTTGTAAAGAACTTTAAGGAGACCTTTTCTGCATGCAGGGTAACATTCTTAACTGACTCTTATCCAACCCTGAACACAGTTTTACTGATGAGTATTTCCCTCCACATTACATAATCTTAGCTTCCTTTCCTGGAAACAAGAACAAAATGCCAGTAGTTCTGTGTAAGGACTGTCTGATTCTTGGGCATCATTTAGCAAACCTGTCTATTTGATACTTCCACCCAAAAAGTGAGGCTTGAATAAACGTTAGAACAAGTTACACATCTATTCCTTGGTACCTTGGTTATTTGATGGTTTTATGGATAGAGACACTGAGTAAACTGGTATGGATTTCAAGTATGTATGGTGTCAGTTTCATCTTCAGGCATAGTTAGAACTTTAAAAAAAGTCTGAGTGTGGCAATACACTTACTTAAGGCTGTTCAGGACCACTACAGTATTGGAAGCCCCAGGGAACTGACCATAACAAGCAACTGTGTAACAGTCTTTTGCCATTGGTCTGAGTAAATTTAGCATTTTCTTCCATTTACCTGTTTGAATACTTTTTATCAAGTGACTGCATACGACAATACAGATAATTTTTGTCTCAGTCTACAGCTACCTTATCTTCTCTGTCATATTTATTTCAACTAGTAATGATGAGGTTAACACTAATTTCACCTGAAAGAATTTGGGAACGACAACCTTTAAGTGAAAGAAGACACTTAGCTCCCAGGGGCATCCTAGTAACAGGTATTGAAGAAGGCACATGGTACTATATACTGTCCCTTACCTTTATGCATATACAGAGGGATTTGTTATAAAACTCCAGAGAGGAAAAAGTAATGGGAGAAGCATTACTTGCTTCAGCATTTTAGGAAGAGTTTAGACAGCTTCTTGTGCTCATCTGAAACATAGCAGGAACACCATAGACGTCTAAGGACCACACACAGATCATGCTTTCAGTTCCCAAGTGCTTTCTTTATAAACATGAACACTACAAAAGCAACACTAATGGCAGCCTTATTTAAAGGACATTCTTCTTGGACTGGTTTCAAAATGTGGTGGCAACATGGACTGAAAAAATAGAGCTTAGGGATTTTTCTTTAATGGTATTTTATTATTTACCTTTAAATTATTCTGAAGGTTGGTAGTAAACTTATTGTTAACAATATAAATATTTTCTTTGTAAGTGTTGAAATTCTCTTAAAAGCATGGGAAGGCAGCAGTCATTTCAGATCGGACTTAGAGAAATCAACTCTCCAAATATCTGCAGAAAGCGGGTTTATTTTCACTTTGTCTTCCTTACTCAGGCCTCCGGACCTGTCTGCTTATTTGCTATCATGAACAGACATGCCTTTTTGGCTGGGCTAATCATTTATGTTTCTATTATTTTTACAGTTTTCTTCAAATTATCCTAACAGAATTTGGTAATTGTTTTAAGAAGGATCATTTAAGCTAGACCATGTTCTTTCAGTTTCCTCTGATACGAACACTAAAAGACAGAAAAGCTTCTGTCTACACCAATTGAAAATCCTTAGAGCATAAACGATGCTCAGCCTAATGAAAAATCACTAAACTTGATTTCATTAAACACAGCTGCCACCACTTACCTTTAATACTAACAGATGGAACTACATTTAGGATTGATCCAGGAGTGTTGGCACAAAACCCTGTCTCTGAACTCGGCTTAAACATCCCATATTTCTGTATGTACCACCAGTTATTTATAATACCCTGTCATTACGTTGGCGCATACCATGTTTTGAAAAAACAGCAGATTTTTGAGATGAGCTCTAAGAAGAAAGTCCTTGAGGTTCCACCTTTTACTATGGAGGAAAGGACGATGCTCGCACAGTGTCAGCTAGCTCACACCAGGAGCATGCATATCCAGCACGCTCACTGCATGTGCCTGAAGCCGAGAATGCTTCCTTTCCAGGACACAGGTGCTATCTCACACAACAAGACAGTGGACTGCACATCCACCACAAAAAGAAAATAAATGACATAGCAAATGCAGCAAATAGAGGCATTTGGCATTCAGAACACGCCAAAAAGCTAACACTCATGAATTGTCATATTGGTTTATCTTTTCTTAAAAAAAAAAAAAAGTCTTTGCATATTTTAAAATGTAACGGTCCCAGAGAATCATGAAGTGCCTTGTCGTTTCTGTTGCTGGCTTCTGATGACCTCTAGTTGTTTTTTACATTGCTGGTAATAGGTAGAAAGGCTTTTGTTTTCATCTAAAAGCTTTTTATGTTCCTGTACCAGACGAGATGTATTTTGCTGGTCCTTTTCATCCTGGTCCAATTCTGCAACTAATTCTTGCCTGAAAACAAATTATACAGTAACATTACACATGATGGGAAGACCCACACCCTTAGCTGATGAAGGAAACTTGGTTGTTGAGAACCTTCATCTAATACAATGCTAGGCCAGACAGAAATTACCACCATGCAAGAACCACAGTCCTTTCAGGAAGTACTTAAGGCAGTCAATGGAGCAGAGAAATCACTGAAATGCTTCAGAAAATTTCATCTGATACCCTCTTCTTTGGTAGGAAGGAAGAAAAAAGGCTCTACCAGTTCCAGGAAGATAGAACTGTATCACAGTTCACGCTCTATTTTTATACGACAATATACTTCAATCCATATTCTGAAGTCACAGTCCTTCCTATTTAGCTACAACTCCAGTGGCAGTAACTAACAGAACACCTGCAAACTAATTAAGAGCTACCTTGCAAGCTAGTTAAGAGCCACTAAAAGTTCTTTTCTATTCTACAACAGCAAGACGACTATCTGCAAACATTTTCAGGAGATCCCCATTCTTACAGGCTGGTAAGCCTTTCTTTGGAGGATATTAAGAAATAGCTCCTTCCTGAAGCAAGAGACTACTGGGTATAAATGAATAATGAGGTCTTATTATTCAAAGTAGCTTTCTGACATTTCTCATTTACAGTAAGTATTCAGGTTGGTGAGATGACCAGTGGGTAAAAAAGTACTTGTCACCAAACCTGATGCGGAGTTCAATCTTAAGAACTCACATACTGGAAGGAGAGAAGAGACTCCCACCAGCTGTCCTGTGACGGGCACACCATGCATGTCATGACATGTGTACACATACCCACTGCCTACATAATAAACTAATTAAAAATTTAAAGCAAGTACTTTAATCAAGTACTTTTCGCATTCACCCATATCCAACACTTTTTAAAATTTATTTATCTTTATTTTATGTGCACTGGTGTAGGTCTCCTAGAACTGGAATTACAGACAATTGTGACCTGCCATGTGGGTGCTGGGAATTAAACCCATGTCTCTGGAAGAGCAGTCAATGCTCTTAACTATTGAGCTATCTCTCTAGCTTCCCAACATTTGTATTTTGTTAACAGAGAATTCGTCTTTAACACAGTTAAAATATGAGAAGGCAGGTTAAATACAGGAATAAATGCAGGCCTCCTCCCCAAACACCAAAGGTCACAAGTTCCACAGCTATATCTATAGCTTCCAGACCATAATATTCAATTTCCTATTATGATATCTTTAGGATAACAACTTGATTTCATTTAAATTATTATGTATTTTCCTTTGTAAAAATTACTCTTTATTATTACATTTATGTTATTGTGTGTGTGCACCAATAAACTTTGTAGTGATAAGTCTAAACAGCCTTTCCACTTTGACAACAGAACCTTGGGTATGCAGTCAGTTTATTTTCTTAGCATCAAAAAGGTGAGTTCTGAATGAAACTAGTTAAAGGATGCTTACAGTTTAACACAAATCTAGATGGAAATACTTTTCTAAAGAACCGCATTATTCATTAACTTATTTTTGAGAAGGGTTTCACTGTGTAGCTCAGGATGACCTTGAACTCAGAGATTTGCCTGCCTCCGCTTCCTGGATGCTGAAATTAAAGGCATGTACCACCACCCCAGCCTAAAGATTTATTTTTAAGTATGTGTGTCTGTGTGGGCATGTGCCCAGTGAGCACGGTGGCCCTGGAGCCTGGAAGAAACGCTGGATGCCCTGGAGCGGTGGTTCTGGAAGGCTGTGAGCGGGCCGCTGTGGGTGTGGAAGAGAACTTGGCTGCTCTGCAGGAGTAACATATGTGCTCTTATTTTCCTAAGCCATCTCTCTAGCTCTTGGAAATATTTTTAATTAGTAATTTTAGGATTCTTAAGACAAAAAAGACAAAGAAATTATTTTTAAAAGTCTTAAAATGCCGGGCGGTGGTGGCGCACGCCTTTAATCCCAGCACTCGGGAGGCAGAGGCAGGCGGATCTCTGTGAGTTCGAGGCCAGGCTGGACCGATAGCCTCCGAAACAATACAGAGAAACCCTGTCTCGTAAAAATCAAAAAAAAAAAAAAAAGTCTTAAAATAATGTTGCTACTCGTGTTTTTAAACTTTCATCTGTTTAAAAATAAAAGGACTGACTTACTTTCTCTGTAGTAACAACGCGATTTCAGTCTGAACTTTCATGTATTCCTGTGCCATTTTACAATGTTGTTCAAACACTGCCATGGACTCTTTGGAATTTGGGCATGGTGCTAGAGGCTGGAAAGAGAGCAGACATGTTAAAACGCAAATCTCGGCGTCTACCTAAGATGACGGCTAAGGCAGAGACTGTGACTGATGCACTCTTACAGCACTAAAGCAATGTAAGCAAAGTGCTGAGGAGCTTCAACGGATAGTGCCCAACCTCAGCCGCACAGGTGAGCCGAGCCGCGTCAGATCAGTGAACAAAACGAAACAAAATCTAAGGATGTGAGAAGACTTGTAGGGAAGGGAGTGACAAGATGAGGAGGTAGGAGTGTAACTAGAGGTGAGCAGATCAGGGTCACCAGGATGCACTCCATATATCACGAACTGTCCAAGAACACATTTATTGAAAGCTAAGTGTTAATGCTGTGTCCCACTCCCTTGTTAGTCAACTGAGAATGGCGGTGATGAGACCAGCTGAAGCTTTGTTTGGGAAGGCACTCTCTGTACAGAGCTGAAACCCTGTACTGCCCAGGGAGACGTGCAATTTTCAGTCCTATCTACCCTCCACGTAGCTGTGGCCAAAGGCACACACTGGCTCCTAAGATGCTTCTAAGTTTCACACTCATAGAGAAGCACCAACACACATTATTTACTTTTCACACTCACAAAGAAGCACTGACACACATTACTTACACTTTTCACACTCAAAGAAGCACCGACACACTTACTTTTCACACTCACAAAGCACTGACACACTACTTACGCTTTTCACACTCACAAAGCACTGACACACTGCTTACACTTTCAGTCATTATGACCCTAGGGATGCATCACAAAATGTTTTAAATGGAAATGAGCTCATGAGTTTTATATCTTCATACACTAAAAAATTAAGGAGTGAAAATGCAATACTTGGCAGTTTTACAACAGAGATATGGAACTATCTTAAGATGACTGTTATGATAAAGACATAAAATATGCCATCCTAAACCTAAGAAACTTTAAAAAAAAATTTTGAGACAGGCTCTCCTGTGGTTCAGGCTGACCTCAAACTCACGTGCTGGCATTAGAGGCATGGGAACCATGCCTGGCAAAGCCATTTATTTTACTTTGATTCTGAAGCTGGCTGAAGAGGGTTAACTAAAAGCATAAAGAAATGGACAGGAACACACTGTGAATGTCATGAGCTTGCCCCTTTACCTGCAGCTGGTGATCCAGTGTAAGATATGCCATCGGGATGGAGTTATCTGAGCCGTTTGTATCTGGAAGCCAAGCATGCATTTTGTTTATTAATTCACGACTGTAATCATTCATTTGTTATAATGATAAACAAGTAGGAAAAGTATCTGAGATGCCATCCCTTCCAAATATTATTCATAAGTTACTGTTATTGGAAACAAACAGGCTGTGGTTTTGAATGCTAAAGGAAAAGGGGGTACATGTGGTCCATATACTAAAATGCAAGCATATTCTACATTTTAGGTTGGCTCTAAACTGAATAGAAAGAACACAGGTTCTTGTTTAATTAACAACAAAAAGACATGACACATAGCCTTTGTATTTTAAAGTTTAAACTCAGTGCTAACTGATCCTATGCAATTGAAGACTACATTTCTTTCCTTAGGTTCTGTTCACCAAGAGGCCGGATCAACTCTGTCATTACAGTGTGCACAAGAAAAGGGACGAGCAAGTGTTCGGAGTCTCCAGATGACCTTCAGATGTCACAGATGCTGTTGTGAACATCCCCAGTCAGTCCCCAGGGAGACACTACCCATGAGAATATATGACATACACAAATAGACGAAACAGGCATTTAGAAGTCTGCCTCATCACCATGGTCCAAACAGTTATATTGGTAAATTCGAGCCATTAGACAAAACTGCCCTCCCACTTCCGTATGGATTGAAGCAAGGCCAGGCACGGGAACAGTGGGAACACTGCATGGGATCCAATGAGAAGCTGAGGACATGAGATGACCCACTCAGACACCGCTTTCCACAAAACTCAGATCGGATGAAAGCAACGCCCTCCTCAATTAAACACTTTGCTCAACCATTGACACCTGTACACCACACTGCACCAGAATGTAGTCTCTGACAGGCCCTTCAGAGTCAAGCAGAACCGGCTGGTATTTCAGAAGCACTGTGCTGGTTCAAATACTTAAAGCCTTTCCATGAAGGGAAAATTAAAACCCTTTATTGGATCTCATCGTTATTCTCTAAAACCACAAAGTGGCATCATTTCACTTTCTCACTTGTACTGAAATTGGAATACCAGCTTCTAGTTTCTAATATTATCAACTGGTCACAATATAAGCAGGCTATTACTCCATGAAAGTTTATTTTTATACTTTCTAATTAAACATGATCTCTTCTCATGAAATATTAAAACTCACAATGGTTTTTGTTAAGGCAACATTTCTTTTCTGATTTTTCAAACACAACAGGTATTAATACTGCCATTTCTTTACAGGCATATTCCCTTACTGGTGATTTGAATGAGAACAGGTCCCATAGGCTCACATATCTGAATATCTGGTAGCCAACTGGAACTGTCTGGGAGGAATTTGCAGATGTGACCTTATTGGAGGAGGTGTGTCACTGGAGGTGGACTCTGAAGTTTCAAAGGCTTGTGTCATTTCAGTGTCTCTCCTGGCTTCTATTTGTGGATCACAATGTGAGTTCTCAGTGCTGCTCCAGCACCAGGGCCGACTGCCTGCTGCCATCATGATGGTCATGGACTCTAATCCATCACAGCGCAGTAGCAGGAAAGTAACTAAGACACACTTTTTGTGGATGCTTTCTTTTTCTTTCTCATGCCTGAAGAGTATGAGAAAGTCATGGACAACACCAGGTCTTGTGTAACTGATTTGTGTCTTTTTTTTTTTTTTTTGGTTTTACGAGATAGGGTTTCTCTGGAGGCTGTTGGTCCAGCCTGGCCTCGAACTCACAGAGATCCGCCTGCCTCTGCCTCCCGAGTGCTGGGATTAAAGGCGTGCGCCACCACTGCCCGGCCTGATTTGTGTCTTTAACTACTAAAGCACTTCATTTATACTATAAAGTTAGTAGCCGACCATGCCATGTGGCAAAGTTCACTGTTAATGTGTATCATAACTCTAACCATGGTCACAATGAATGGGTTGCATCTTATGTCTATCTTTGCAAGGCTCTAAGCACAGAAGAAAGTTGATGTCCATGGCTCCTGTTGCCATCAAGGGCCATGCTGATTCCATGGGTCTGGGCTGACACCTGGAGTTTATGTTGGTGTCCAAGGGTCATGCTCTTGCTGGGGCTGTGCTGATCTTGGTGGCCTTCCCTGCCACCTGGAGCCATGGTGACAACTGTAGCTAAGGTGTGTGTTGTGACTGTGGCCCTGTCACCTCAGGGACCCACAGGAACCATGTGATATGAAATCAGAGAGCCATGTTGAACCGACCCCGCCCTTCACTGGCCCAGGGAAACTGGCCTTGCCTCTCACTAGACACTGCAGCAAGAGAGCTGGCCCTGACCCTCATGGAAGAGATGGCCCCACTCTTCACCACAGGCAGGGTGAATGGCCCCTGAGGGTATGGGCACAGGGGAACTGACTCAGCCCCCTTGTCTGAGGAGGTGGCCCTGGTGGCCTAGAATGACCAGTTCAGCTACCACCCAGGCCCATAGCTGGCCTTGGGCTGGCCTACCCTAACATCTACTCCATCTAGGACCTACTGGAACTTAGGAGGGGACTGATCCTGTGGAGCAATATCCACCAACAAGATCTTGCTGACTCTAGAGGTCACAAGATAGCCCAGAGGAGTTAAGGTGAGGATGGTGTACTAAGAACCAGACCAGTGACTTACTGCAATGTGCATCTGCTGGTAAAGCTGACTGGACAAAAGAATACGCTATATGCACTATATGACACACTGATTCTCCCAGTGCCACCAGGATGAATATGAAGAGGTGTTGAAGGGTTTTTTTTTCCTTTCTCATTTGTTTTGTTCTTGTTTTTGTTTGATTACTTGCTTTGTTTTAATTTTTAATTTTCTTTTATGGGAGGTGCTGCAGGGGCGAGGGAAGGATATGGGAGGATCAGGAAGTGAGAAAAATGGATGCATGATGTGCAACTCCCAAAGAATCAATAAGCGAGTTAAAAAACAAAACAAAACAAAACCAAAATGGGGCTGGAGAGATGGCTCGGTGGATAAGAGCACTGGCTATTCTTCTAGAGGACCCATATGGCAAATGACAACCGTCTATAACTCCAGTTCCAAGGGTCTGACACCCTCACAAAAATGCACATAAAATGAAGTTAAATAAATCATAAAAAAAGAAACAAAACAAACCCCAGAGGTCGACATTTAGGAAAAAACACTAACAATTGACACAAGGGATCTCATGAAATTATGAAGCTTCTTCACAGTAAAAAAAAAAAAGCTAAGTTGGGTATAGTGGCCTTAATCCAAACACTTGTGAGGCAGAGGAGGCAGAGCTCTGTAAGTTTGAAGCCAGCCTGGTCTACAGCTCAAGTTTTGAGGACAGCCAGTGAAACACTGTGAGATCCTGCCCCACCAACCAACCAACCAACCAACCAACCAATCAACCAACCAACCAACCAGTTCAGTGACTACAGTCTATCTTGCTAATCACTGAGTTGTCAACGTGCCTTCTCTGTATTTTTGTTTCTATCTACAGACTGGTGTTGCTCTCAGCCTTGGCCAGAGAAGGCAGTGGCTAATGCAGACTCATTACTGGTTCAAGTATTAAGAATCAGTGACTATGAGTGCTCAGTCCTAAGTGAGACAGCTATATCAACAGCCCAAGGCCCAGGGAACCTCACAGAAGGGAGGAAAGAATCTAAGAACCAGAGGACTTGAAGTAGTGTTGCGAAATGCTGTCTGATGGCTTTACATTCATTCATGAACCCAAGGCAGCTGTGGCTACCTACAGAGGATCAAGCCAGGCAACATACCAGGATGGGGCAGCGGCCCATGAAGCCCTACTTAGCTAAGCAATTGATGGCTGCAGGGGGCGGAGGTCACAAGCATTTTTCTTGGAGGGAAGTGGCCATTGCTAGGTTGTCCAGGCTTGATGGATGAACAAAACCCATGGGTATTTGCAGAGTATTAATTGGAGTCAGTTGGGTCATAAAAAAGAAGACACAGAGGTGGAAGGGGCACATGTTGGGAAGTGGGTCCAAAGGAAGTAGATAATGGTACTGGAGGTGGGTATGCTCAAGACACATTGTGTACATGCATGAAAGATATTCCAGTGGAAAAAAAATTGAAAAATGTCCAATCTCACTAGTAATTGGGGAAAAAAGCAAATAAAAACTTAAGTAGAATCTCATCTCCCCTGCTAGAATGGCACCTTATATACACTGCTGGTAGAAATGTAAACTTCTTCAGCCATCATAAAGTCAATTCAGAGGTTCCTCTAAGCACCAAAAGCACATCTACCACACAACCCGAATATACACTCCTGGGCATTTACCCAAAGACTTAAGTTCAACACATTCCAGCAATACTTACTCATCCATGCTTACTGCAGCACTATCCACAAGAGCTGAGTTATAGAACTCAGTGGGATATCCAACAACAGAGGACAAAGAGAATGTGGCATGTATACACATTAGTGTTCAATATGTCCTTTGTAGGAAAATGGAGGCAACTGGAAACAAATTAAACTAGTCTTAGAAAAGTGTTTATGCTTTCTCTCATTTGTGTCTGTATATGGCATGGAAGTAGAAGAGAAACTGTCTAGGGGGAACAAAGAGGGCTAGCAAGAAGGAGGACAGGAGAAAAAAGAGAGGGTAGGGGGTAGAGGTTATGTTCAGTATACATTATATACTTCTGTGAAATGCCCTTATATAACACAGAATCATGCACAAGGAATACACAATGGAAATGAAACACAAAAATTGAGGTGGACTTTGGGAGGATTTGGAGTAGGGGGTGGATATGATCTAAATACAGTGTATTCATGTATGAAATACCAAGTTATATATAATAAAAAGTAGAAATGGAGATGAAGATGATGATGGTTATTTTTAACTATTGTAGGAATTGTAATTACTGAAAAGATCCAACAGGAAGGATCCTAACACAAAAATTATAGAGGGAAGTACAAGAACATGTTTCCTATCTGGCAAATCTATTTTCAACATACATGTTTAGTATTTGGGAGAAAAACATACACAGGGTAAGGCTGTTAGCCTCTGCCACAATACTCTAAAGGGCATTTTACGTTATTACCAAATAGTTGATTTTACGAACATGAAAATCTAAATAATTACACCACACTTGTTTTTGTAAAAAATAATGCTTCTAAGTTCACTCAGTTTAATACAATGAAAAACTAAACTAGTCACCTGTAGAATCATCAGGGGTCCATGGGTGACTGCGAGCTGGCTTCTCCGAGGTCGCTCCTGAGGTAGTGATCATTCTGACACTAGGACTGGATGACCTACTGCTCACCTGTAGGAAGGAACGCAAGGGGGAAAATGCGTCATTTTTTTTTTTTTTTTAAGAATGACAGGACACATTTTCATTTTTAGTAAGAGGCAAAAGATTTCCATTTTCACTAGGAGAGGCCCCGAGACTCTTGAAAACGAAATTTTAGCCCTGGATTGTCTATTGCATTGACAAGAACAGGTAATAAGGCCTGGGAAGGAACTAGTAATAAGTCCTTGTGTCATGAAAGTGCCTGGAGAAAGCCCTGCATAAAGCTGAGGCCCAGGGAATGCTTTGTTCTCTAGCAAACTAGCAAAACTAAAAAAAAAAAAAAAATCCGACAAAGGCAGGTGGCAAACACCCATAATCAGCCCTTGGGGGCAGAGGCAGGAAGATCATGAAAATCCCTTCTTCAGTAACTCTAAATGAAGAGAAGAAGGGTGCCCACTGTACATCCTGATCATTTCCAGAATCAATGGAAGACAGAACTGAACACAAGTACACATAAAGTATGAGAAGTGAGACGAGCCATGGTCACATGCAGTCAAATTCCAGAGAACAGAAAAAACAAAAATAGAAGCAGCCTCCAGAGGAAACCCGAATAAGCAAGAATATTGTTGTTAAAATGCCTATGCTGTTCAGAAACATAGATATACATGTTAAAATCTCAAAGGTAACTAAAAGTAGTAAGAATTAACTCTTAACCTAGAAAGACAAATGTAATGAAAAACAAGAAATGGATCTATTCAACTTAAAAGGAAGGCAAGGAAATAAAAGAGGAGTTTCAAATAAGATAGAGCAAATTTACCAGTAAAAAACAAAATAAACTATAATATTAAAGCCCAAAATTAAACAAAGGAACCTCCTAAGCACAGGGCTGGAAGACAGTTTGAGGGTTAAGTGGTTCCTGTCTTCCAGACAGCAGACACAACTTCAGCCCCAGGGGATTGGATATCCTACTGTGGTCTTTGTGGGGACCCATACTAGTAGCATATACACATACATAGACACATGCATAAGTGAAAAAAAATAAAGTCCCAATCAAATGTCAGGATGAATTAAATGTGATTCTTAAGAGACAAATCCAATTTACGGGAAAGATGACTCAGTGGTTAAGAGCACTTACTGCTCTTCTAGACAGGTACTTCCTTCCTCTAAGGCACCCAGGTACTCAGACCAGTTACTGAAATACTCTTGAATCCAAATGCATACAATTTCATTCTGCACCTTGCACCATTACAGCTTGTGTGTGTGTGTGTGTGAGACAGCATCTCTATATAATACACACTAGCCATAAACTTACAAGAACATGAGGAGCTTTTATCCACTGACCCCTATCCCCATTTTCCCCTGACACAATGCAAGTTTAACTGATTTCCCAGTGCTATTTTCATTTCATACTTGGATAGTAAGAACACTGTAATGAAGTATTACCAAGAACTCTGTATGGAGGAAGGCCTGTGACACGGACCAGCATCTCCTGTGTGTCTGTCCTCTGACATTCCATAGGAACCCCATACAGTAGGTGTTACAGTGCCTAGTTGCACAAAAGTTGCTGATGCTCAGGACAGTTAAGGAGTATGCTGGGTTCATATCGTGTCTAATTCTCTAGATAATGGTAATTGCATCACTGTGGAATGGGAGATGTATACTGGATGGAATCCCAAAGGGATATGTGGATCTACTTTACAGTATATCATTTTAGTGAACAGGAAGGTTCACTTAAATGTTTAAAAAGTAAAGTGTCCAGTTACCTGTCTAGACTTACTATTATAGTATTTATTATTGGTTAATCTTGCTCAATGATATGATGGTCAATGCTCATCATTTCTGAAAAACCACTTAAATAATGACGTTACAGATAATGACAAACTACAACACAGAATTCACCAGGATCATTTCGGCACAAATTACATATCATTTTTTTTTCTTTTTGGTTATTTTGTTTTTTTGAGACAGATTTGGTCTCAAATTCATTATGTAACAGAATGGTAACCTTGAGCGTCTGATCCTCCTGAGACTTCCACCTCCCAAGTGCTGGATTACAGGTATCTATCACCATATCTAGTTCTCCACATGCTGAGGATAAAGTACAGGATGTTATGCATACTAGGCAAGTACTCAGCCAACTAAGCTACCTCCCTACTCCTGTAATGAAAGACAGAATGATAAAGTTTACAGTGTGCCACTGAATCAGACTTGCATTCCAAACCTCTTCTTAACAGGGTGCTGAAAACATGAAGAAAGATCGAGACATAGGTTCGGTTTCTCTAATTCTCAGGGGACCTATCTGCAAAAAAACGTATTTAACCATCTAGGGTTAAGATACAGGTGGAGTCTACTAAGGCTCTGCCTGGTACCAAAGTTAATGCATAACAAATGGCAGCTATTATCAGCAGTGGTTCTCCAACTCTAAGAAAATCCATCAGGTAAATATGGTCTGCTTTAAAAAGTCCTTGGGGGGGGCTGGAGATGTAGCTCGGTTGGTGATGTTTGCCTAGCACACAGAAAGTCCTAGGTTTGGTCCCCAACACCACACAGACAGGAGGTAGTGGTCGACACCTATAAGCTAAGCACTTGGGAAGTAGAGGCAGGGAGATCAGGAGGTTAGAATCATCCTTTGCCACATGGTTTGAAGCCAGTCAGGGATATATTGGACCTTGTCTGAAAGTCTGGTGGTAAAAAAGACTCCACCAAGACTTGGCATTTTGGTACCACCAGTCTTCAGCCAAGAACACACTGGTAGAATAAAGTTGGGTTTACTACTGTTGTGGTAATGAAGGTTCTCCATGGGGCAGCACAGAAATTCATAGAACTGAGACTGGGGTTGGTTGATCTGGGGAGGACAGACGTGTTCTCTCTCATTTGGCTCCTGCCAACAAGGGCAATTCTACAGAGAGGCAGATGGACAGACGAGAGCTGCATTTGGTAAAGAGGCTGTAGCCATTCCCATTTGTAGGGAAGGGCAATGATTTTTATGTTTGGGGTGGCAGTGACCCTCACACATTAAAGAAGATTTGCTTTGTCTTACTTTCTCAGGGTACAATCTTTTTTGATATAGCTAACAAAGAGTTGCCGTTTTCTTTCCTAAAGACACCAGGAGGCAGATCCATGGTGAGTGCTTCCTAAGCTTCCCAAATTAACTGTAAACTATGTACATTGCAAGCTATGAAGAAAGTCTTTACATATTTACAGTTATATGTGATTAAAAAGTTTGGTTTGCTATTATTCTCAATAGAAAGTACCAATAAAGTCTTATTTTTAATTTATAAGTAAAAAAGTAATTTCACTGAAATTACTCTTCAAGTCACAAGTCCAAGTACATACAACTTTTTTCTGTGAGATGAAATGCTAAGGTTCACCAGCAAACTCTTTCTTTTCATGACAATCACACTACATGGGCCTGATTATTTTTGTCATGCTCTTTATCAATTTCAATGTCCAAAAACAAACCTCAAAATAAAACTAAAAGCAGAAGCACTCTCCCCACCTGTCAATCACTTCATCAAATTTGGAGAGAAGCACACTGTCAAGTCAAGGAAACCAATGTTGTGGGCATGTTCCTTCCCTCATAATGAATGCTGTTTTCATGAGTAACTACATCAATTCAACCCAATGGTCATGCAGACACTTTCCTGCTACTCTTATCCCAAAACGGACACAAGATACTGTAAGGTTATAATACTTTGGTAATTGGTAGAGCGGATGAATTTAAAATAGCAACTATTTTAGAGCAGTGTTACTGACAAATCAAACTGCCTCTTCCATAGGATCTTCTGAAATGGTAAATGACAATCCATGCCAGATGCCAGTGACTGTCTCTCAGTCAGAGTCTGACCCAGTCCCCAGATTTTACTACTTGAAGGCTTCGTACATTAAAAGGCTTTAACACAGGTCTAACTAAACTAAGTGTGACTAGTGGAGAGACTAGCAAAGCTTGGTATTGGGAGTGTTGAGACAGAAACTCTCACATCAGCAGCTAGTCTGTGTCTTATTAAGGGCTCGGTGCCAGAAAGCACTGGGTTAGGGTTCAAATAACTGGACTATCAATGGCAATAGTAAACACAGTTTAAAAGCTGTGCTCATCAAGACAATGGACTCAAAGCAAATGCCGGATGTTAAATAGGCTGACCAAAGCCTTTAAATGTCAGTGAGGGGAACAAAAGTTTTGGGGCATCATAAAAATCAATAGACTGGAAAAAAAAAATCACTACTAAATGAGTGAGAAAGGTTTACATTAATGATGCTAAAATATATAATAACTTATGTGTGTCTTTATTTCTATATTTGAAGATTACATGCATATGCAGTAAGAATTGCTACAAAATATTACCAGATTTAAATAAAGTCAAAGATACTAATCTTTATCAAGATTCTTTTTTTCCCTTTCCCTTTTCTTTTTGAGACAGGGTTGCTCTTTGTAGTATTGGCTATACTGGAACTCACTATGTAGACCAGGCTGGCCTCAAACTCACAGACATCCACCTGCCTCTGCCTCTCAGATATTGGGGTTAAAGGTGTGTAACACCATGCCTAGTCTATCAAGATATTGTTAAGTTAGCTAGAAAACATTCTTCTATAAAAACTACAAAAAACCATTCATTCTTATAAAAATGAAATAAAACTTTCTATGATGAAATGTTAATGTATATTTCCTTAAAGTAAATTATATTGATAGTTTACATGTATACATGAACCATTATACAATAGCTTTATTACTTCATATGATATAATACATGAGAACAAAATACCTCATACTCAGTCCTCATTCATTTTAGAAAATATGATAAAAATCTATGTCAAGTGTATTAATTTGAATAACAGAAGAAAAAAACCTTAATTACTGAGCTACTTTTATATACCCGATTAATTAGAACTCTACAGCAGAGTCAATGTGGCTTAAATTACAGCGTTATCTGGCCTATTTACAAGAAAGCTATGACAAAGAGATGGGGGAGTTCAGAAGAGCATTGAAAACACAAGCAATAAAATCTGTGATGACTAGAACAGAAACTTCCTTTAGTTTAGCCATCTGCTTAGTATGTATTTTCAAAGCGTATTTATGAAGAATAGGAAGGCAATGGATATACCAAATTAAAAGATATTAACACACTTTCCAGGTGTCCCCAGGAGTAGCATATTAGGGAGGATTTATTTCTCTCATTTGTAAGAAGTATTAATACTAATTAGTCACTTTAGAGGCCAATGATAAAGGCGCATTATTAAGTTCCAGAACAAAGTATTTTCTTCAAACATAAGAATACACGGTGCATGCTAGACAAGGCGCTTTCTCATACAGTTCAGAGTGAACTAGGAACTTAGTGCTTTCCCATCTTCCTTATGGACTGATGCTCAGTAACAATAAACATCTCAATCACAATTTCAGGTCTGCTACTTTTGCAAAGGATATCATGGTTCATTCTTGATCTCTGCCTATCATAGTTCTCCACAGACAGATAACTTGAATGTTAAATCTTACCTGACCAGGTTCTGTCCCAGTAACAGTCAAGTCTTGGATGGATCTACGCCTTGGTTGCCCGTTGCCTTAAAACAAAACAACAAAAAAAGTAAAACTGCCATCCATTCACACAAGTGAGAAGGGTGTGACTGCTGCAAAGGAAGTGAACTTTCCTGCTCCTGGGATCTATGTAACACGTTTGCAGGAAAAAGAATGAGTAAATTTATTGTACAAACAAACCAATCCCAAAATTGATAAAGAAAGAGACAGAGAGAGAACTGTAGTACATTAACTCAAAGACTGCTGGCCCACAAAGCAGTATGTCCTAATACAATGATACTCCTACCACACAAACAGCAGCTGAACTGTCTTCCACCATCTTCTGTCATGTGTTTAAATAGATGAATGCTTGGGGGCTGGGGCTGATGACGGCATCTATTTCAAGGACCTTACGTTACAGTTTTCACAGCAAGACAGCTAGCAGGTTGTAAGACACGTCTGGCTTTAGCTGGCAGCAGTGCCTAAGAGGATGCTTAGGCTTAAATTATTGCCCCAGTCACATTTACTCCCATTAGTCTTTGTCAGAATGCAGTAATTCATCACTAGTGGGTAAGAGCTCAGTTTCCTTTCGGAGATGAACAACGTTCATTCTATGCTCAAATAAATAAATATATACAGCTTGTTGAGATGGGCTATTATGAACACCCTGCTTTAGAAACATCTACATAGCAACACGTTTTAACTCAATAAAAAAAGAATTCCATAAACAAGTCTTCAGTAAACAGCTTGACTTAAACAACAGCTTCACTCAGCACCTTTACTTGGGAGTATGGTTGTTTATACAGTATCTTTTAACACGAGAGGTCAGCTGTTAAAAAGGAAACACCAAAATACTACAAGAAACAGCTGGTACAATATTCACAACTCCTTTGACCCTGAAGCTGTAGCATATAATTCTGCAACTAGCAGGCAGCACTCAGGACACACACTTGAACGGTTTTGTTCTGAGGAGCAGAGAAATCATCTATATTTTCACACTTCACCATCTTGGATAAAAAAAAGTTGTACCTAAACCAATCAGTATCATTTAGCATCTTAATCCATGTGATCTCATTATTGTTTCACATTTAAACCAAATGGACTTTGAATAGAATTAAGAGTGATTAGTGAAATAATATAAGTAGTGAATATAAAACTCAAATGTATAGTTACTCTTAAAAGTATAGCTCATAACTTTCCCATTTTACACTTTTTAAAAATTCTTTGCATACTCTGAATTCACATCAAATTTCAATTTAGTTTGAAATGTCCCAACTTCGTATTACAAAGTAAAACAATAAACTGCATTTACTGAATCAGACACTTTCATGAATTCTTTTAACTATTTGTGTCCCCAAAACAAAAAGGATAGTAGTATGACTAATGAGCAATTTTAGGCACGTTTCATTCAACACCCTCATTCTAAAATTAGCACAGATGAGACAGACTATAAAAGTGCCTGGAACTCTCTTTTGAGACCAGCAACATTTATTAACCTGAGAAACCACCCAGTGTATGTGTCTATAAACCATGACATCACTATCATAGTTTCACCAAATATGAGTTCAAGTCTAGCTGAGGGACAAAAAGGGGAAGACAAATGTTAAGAAAATAGGGCAAAGAAGAGTTGACAGTTAGCAAATGCCATAAAATGAAACTTTCCATGCAACAGCATGAGTGGAAACAAGCAGTATTAGGCAATTCATTTTAATGAGCACACCATGTCAGAAACCACCTGGCAAACAGCTCAGACAAAGCGAAAGAGGATTGCAATCAACAAACACTTGTTGCTCCAATATTAAGTTTAAAAGCCATAATTTAGAAATATGAGTGTGAAATAACTCAAGTTCCTAGTATTGCAAATGAAAATCATTGGGTGTGTTCTTAGAAAATCTGAATTCTCAATTTTTTGCACTGAATACTCATCTAGAATGCAGACGTTTTACACTTAAAATACGTTTTACTTTGTGTGTGTGTATGTATGTGTTTGTGTGTGTGTGTGTGTGTGTGTGTGTGTGTGTGTGTGTATTCTTACTACAGGATGGTTTTGAAGATAACTTGTGAGAGGCAGTTCTCTCCTGCCTGTCTGTGTGGGTTGGCAGCAAGTTTCCTTACCTGGTGAGCTATCTTACAGGCCCTCACTTTTTCACATTTAAAGTTATTTGATATGTGCACAAAAAAACAAAAACAAACCCTGAACAGATGATCTGTAAGAGAAATATGAGAGTTTTAAGAATGCTTTGTCTAAGATCTCACTGCCAGCTGATGCTGCACAGCCTCCTCCAGGGCCCACGGCACAAATGGAAGATAGAAGATCAGTAAGCTGCTGCCACTGCTCTTCAAGCTCGTCACAGGCACAATCTAACTCCTCCAAGAGGCTGCTCTCAACTACAGTGGAGTTCCTAAGCAAGTGTTTCAGTCATCTCAGAACAAGTCCAGAGATTACTTCCTGAGGTGTCACACAGTCCTCCCTTTGCTTTTTCATAGGGTCTAAATCAGGCCACAGCGTTCACTACCGATGCCTTATACTTTTAAAGCAAATTACTATCCTGGAACCTTCTCTTGCCCAAATTGTTGGAAAATCTGAGATTTGTAAGTTCTAAATAAAAAGTGTTCTCATGCATAGAACAGGACTGAAAATAATGTACAATGATGCATATGTAAGAATTCAATTACTGCTTAGTGCTAAACTGAGAACATAGTTTAAAATTGTGTGCCTGTTAGGTTGCTACAACTCTTACTAAATTCAACAAGTTATGCCTCTTTCCTTAGAAGAACACCAGATACGTTTTTTAAAGCAATTATTAATGACTAATGAGGTTTACTTTGGAATTACCTTTATTAAACTAGAATTTGAGGCTCACCCTTTTGTCTTTCATAATTAAATATTATTTCTTTAAATTAAATTCTATTTCTTTAATAGCAGCCTGGCTGGCTTTGATCCACAGGCCTCTGTATCCTGAGTGCAGGACTAAAGACACATGCTAATATAGCTAAATGTTAGCTTAGTTTTTAGGTTATAAAATGTGACCTTGGTAATCTAAAATTTGGTTGAGAGAGTCCCTGAATATTTACTGTAATGCTAGATTAACTTCCCTATTTAACTAGTCAAAAATACCAAATTCCATAGGAAGTGAACAGGAGGACCTTAACACGTCCCTAATGAAAGGCTTGCAACTGCTAATGAGATTACCTGTGACAGGTAGGGACTGCACTGCAGAAAGCTCAAATCTTCCTATTACATTGCCTTTTCACATGGGAACTGTGCAATAATTTAATTCTAGTTGAATACTTACAAACATTAGTATCTACTAGTTCTTGAAGGAAACACAACATGAGAAAAGCTTTATTCTCATGCTAGTGAAGAAAACAAAACAATGTCTGGAAGTCTCTCAAGGATGCTTCTGCCTCCAGAGTGTGATGCTCTACAAAGTCGATACCCAAGCTGGAGGAGTCAAGAAACCCAGTTAAGTGTATGCCTAGTCCACCTTTCTCTTCATCACACTATTGCTATAATAGTAAATATACAGCATAGCCAATGTCATAAAAGTGAAAATGAGAGAGCAGGATGAGAAACTGAGTCGTTATAGGCTTGAGGAGAGAGCTGACACTAGTGAGATCTCCATAGATCTACAAGGATGACACCAACTGGCAAACTAATCAATAGTGGAGAGACTACATTAATTGCCCCTCCTTAATGATAAAGTTGATGACTACCTTATATGCCATCCTAGAACCTTCATCCAGTGACTGATGGAAACAGAGACAGATGCCAACAGCTAATCACTGAACTGAACTCCTGGAACCTAGTGACAGAGATGGAGGAGTGATGAGCAAAGGGGTCAAGACCATGATGGTGAAACCCACAAAGACAGCTGACCAGACAAGGGGAAGCTCTTGAATCCCAGACTGATGCCTGAGAGGTCAACAGGGGACTGATCCAGACTCCATGAATGTAGTCTCAGTGAGTAGTAGATCAGTATTTATCCTGGTTTATGAATGATCTTTGGGAGTCCATTCCAAATAGAGGGATGCTCTCTCAGCCTGGACACATGGGGAAGGGCCTAGGTCCTGCCCTGGATGAAATGACAGACTTTGGAGATCCCCCAAGGAGGGCCTCACCCTCCCTGGGGAATGATGTGGGGGATTGGGTGGGGTGCTGGCAGGGCTGGTGGAGGGGTTAGGGAGGAGGGGTGGGAGAGGGAGCTGGGATTGACATGTGAAGCATTCATGTTTCTAATTTAAATTAAAAAATTTAGAAAAAAGGTGAAAATGAGTATTTATTCTTTTAGACCTAAATGTGGCTAATAGATCAAAACCCAACAGACTCAAAGGTTGTTTCCAGCTTCAAGAACAATACTATAAACAATAATATCCGATAACTCAGGTTCTTCAGGGAATTGTACAAAATATTATTATGTAAAGAAAATACCTAAGATGGGACACCACTTTGATGAAGGCATTCTGTCCCTCTCCATAGCAGGCCATATTATCACAGACTTAGAAACCCCAAAGGTACAGTAGAGCTGCACTGTTCACGCCCTCAAATGGTTGGTAATGCATATCTAGAGTGGAACAGGGGTTATTCAAGTGCCTTAAAATGCAATCAAGCGTTACAACTGAGACAAATTTCTGTAAGATTTTCTAGTTTAGCTTGTTTTCTCGAGATACGTATATATTATGACTGCAATATCAGTATAAGGCAACTTTGTATGCCACATTTGATCTGTTTTATAGTAGCAATCAGGCTGGTATAAAGTATAAATAACCATTTTATGCTAGTGTGACACAGATGCAGAAATTTGTTTCAATTATACCGTTTCTTCATAGGTGTGTGTGTCTGTGATTTTTTTCCCCAGGGGACTTTGAAATGTATTATAAATCATGCCTGGTGTCCCTGAGTGCTCTGGTCACTCACAAAATGACTTTAGGGCACATGAGCTTTTTCCTGACTATTGATTTTAGAATTATAACAAAGAACCAGAAAAGACTAAAGACAGCACAAATAATCCTGAGCAAAAAGAGTGGTGCTGGAAAGATTACCATT